AGGGAAAGATGACAGTATTTTAGAGAAGGTCTTCCAAATACCAGGAACAACTGATCCTTAAAGAAAACAGAGAGAGCTCTTTAAATACTAGAGCAGTGGCTGCGTGCTCTATATGAGTGGTTCTTAACCTTGTTAGACTCAAGGCATGCCTTGGAAAATGCCAGCGCTTAGTTTTCATTCTTTTTTTTATATGAAAAATAGAGCAAATTTACTGTTGCAAAGATCTCAGAAAGATCACAGAAGGTCAAAATAGTTTTGACACTATGGATTTCTATTTGAAAACTCTAGGCTTATTTTGGGAATCATGTTTGTACACCTAACCCTGTTAGCATAGCCTGGCACCCTGCAGCACCTCTGAAGGGATGTCAAGGCAACCCAGGATGCTGCACAGTCCCAGTTGAGAATCAGTGCTCTATATTTCTACCCCACCCCTTAACACACACATGTGCATGCGCACACACACTTTTCAACTCTCCAGTTAAAGTTGAGTTATTGGAACGATAAGGATACAAGCACATAAATTCCTGTGTCTTTCAACATGCATCTCACAAAGACTCCCAGCTGAGTAAGTTACACAGTTACTACCATGTATCTCTCGTGACAGCTTTGCAAAGTTTTAGTGTTTAACCAAAATTCATCTCCTTAATATAGTAAGGGTCACCACTGTTATCAAGCTGTTTAAATAATGGAAACTGAGATATATACTGCATTATCTAGTTTCCAAACACATGTACAGAAGAAACTGACCCCAGTGTTGCCAACTTTAAGAACTCCAACTCTTGTAATATTTGGGTTCTTTTCTTTGAATCCCCAGCTTTTATAGACATGCAAGTATTTGAGAAATGCTTCCATTCGAAGACTTCCCAGTCTTCATGGTGGCCAAGCAAAGTAAAACATGCATCAAGTACAACTTAAAAGGCTTGGTAACAAAGCAGTAAATAAAAAGACACCCACATTTATTTTCTTCATGTCTCATGATGAAGCTACTTAGTGTACCTGACTCCTGGTTTTTAAATGCTTAGGGGCTGGCAACATTACAAACTAAGATTTCATGCAGTAGTTTTTTCAAAGCCTAATCAGGTATTAGGGCCCCTTAATGCAGTTACACAAGAAGCACAAGCTCTAGCCTGCCCCACTTCTCTCCTGGAGAGTATTCTTGCATAAAGGTAGTCCTAACTTCACTACACAAGTGCTAGACCTAAAAAGTATGCAGTATCAATGCATCACAATTTTGTCTCTACCTGCTGCATGTGTTGAGGAGTAAGTGGTAACCCAAAGATATCAACTTTGCCAGTATGATATGAAATGGAGAAGCTAATCCCTACCACATGTTGTGAGATGTGCCATCCAACCTCTCCTGCACGCAAAAAACTAGAAGACCCTAACATTGAACTGTAGCATCTCAAATAATTCTCATATGTCTTATCCAGGCTGCCAGCAAGCTCTCCATTTAGGAAAAGCCTCCCTCTAGCCTCTGCCTTCTTTCAAGGCAAAAAAAAGTTGCATGCCAATCCCACGCCTTCTGGCTCTCAGGTTTTTGGCAGACACTGCCATGCAATGCAGCCAACTCCTAACCGTGAAACATCACTTTGCAGCCCCAGCTGATAAGCAGCTCCATTACCACGCACATATTCAGTCCATCATGCTCTCAACCACCTATGCCCCTCAGATTTCCTTAAAAAAGGGAGGGAAATAATGTTGATAAAAATGCATGAATGCAACCCCTTTCTGAGTTTTGTTTTCCTCATTCCACAAAATGCCACGGCCAGTAACCAGGATAAGCCAAAAGCTGAGATCACTACATTTAAGGAAAGAGGAAGCCAGGACCAAAGAAATATAATTTGCAGACAAAAAGAGAAACTGATACTTCAGGAATGAAGCTTAGTTATTTGATGAAAATGATTATATGACATGGTTGCCTGTAAGAGAGGCTCTGACCCCAGCAACCCAAGAAGTCTCTTCCCATCATATCTACGCATCTAAATCTTAATAAATACAAGTATATCTGTAGCCAGCCCAGCTGATTCTACGCCTCCCTGAAGTAGTTCTCACAGCATTTGTAAAATGATAAAACCTAAATGTCAATATAGCATTATCATGGTATAACAGCAGGAGTTGTAACTATTTTTGCACCCCAGCCAAAACTCTTGTGTATCCTGTTGTGTGGGAGGGGGGTGGGGGGGGGTACTGCGTGCAGAGTTGGTGGAGGCAGCTCATATGGCCAGGCAGTCCAACAGCTCTTCTGCCCAGCTCATTTTTTCCTCTAAACCAGCAGCCAGGTCTGGGCCATGCTCACTCAGCCCTACTTATGCGATTGACTGACAGTGCTATGAATTACCTTGCAGACCGGTATTAACCAAA